TTAAATATAAATAAAAAATAAAACTAATTACACAGTTTAGACGAAATTCACGAGATGAGTCTTTTAAGCCTAATTAGACTATGATTGGACACTAATTGTCAAATAACAACAAAAGTGCTATAGTACCATTTTCAAAAAAATCGCCAACTAAACAAGGCCTTACAGAGTTAGTAGTGCACCACAAAGTACCTCTTGCTAGAACTCGGTCATATTTCCAAGATATGTTTTTGTTCCCCAAATCTCAGGCTCTGTTTGGTTGAGCTTTTGAACCTGTTTTTGTTTTTGCAAAAGCCAAAAGCCATTCAAAGAGTCCAAAAGCCACAGCTACTTTTACCCAAAAGTAACTTTTGCTCTAGTACATAATTGAAAATAGATCTCCCCTGCTTTCAGTTGTTTTTAGGCTAAATATTTACCCTCTTGCCACTTATAATGGGTACCGGTTCATATTTTCTATTCTTTTCCCATCCGCGTCGCGAGGAAACAAGGGCGTTGTGTGTGCTCCCTCCGACGGGCACGGGCTCCGACGGTGGCTCCGGGGCGGACGCAAGCGCCGCCCTGCCCCGGCGCGGCCTCGACGGCCCCCTACCCAGATGGCCGGCGGAGGGCGCGGGCTCTGGCACTCCGACAGACGGCCCTGTCCCTCCCCTGCATCTCTAGACCGGCGGCGACTACGGTGCAGGCGCGAGCGCCCGCCTTTCCCGGCACCGGCGCGGCCCCGACGATCCACTCCGGCGGGCACGAGCTCCGGAGCAACCTCCTCCACCACACCAAGCCGCCGGGCCGTCCTGCTCCGCGCTCGTCTTCTTCCTCTCTCCAGTTTGTGCGCTTTCTCCGCAGAGACGAGCCACCCTCGTCGATCTCCTTCGTCTGGCCACCGCAGCTCGATGGACCGTACCTGGCGCAGAGCGCAAGAAGTACTTACAATCCAACGATGCACAAACATTATTGGAATACTTGAAGAATAAGCAAATAGAGGATACTACAATTTTTTACGTGATTCAAATAGATGAGGAAGATGGTTGGATAGCTAATTTCTTTTGGGCAAATGGTCAATCTATCATGAATTATGCATGCTTCGGTGACGCTATGTCATTTGACACCACGTTTCAGACTAATAAGTTTGAAATGCCTTTTGCTCCAATTCTGGAATCAACCATCACAAGCAAACAATAATTTTTGGGCTGCACTGATATTTAATGAGACTATTGAATCATTTGTTTGGCTGTTTAAAACCTTCCTAGCAGTAATGTCGGGCAAGCATTCAAGCCGTGTCTACACTACCAGATCGACTTTATATGCATGGCCATTAGGCTAATTATTACTTCAATGGTAGGCGAGGTGTCTACACTAACAGCAAGGTGTATGTACTGACTTTGTTATTTTGCATGTGGACTATGTTTTCAAAGAAAAAAACAAGTATGTTCTTAGCGAAAAGAATATAGATATGCTTCATATAGAAGGATGGGCTGCCATTTTTTTTCCTTCTAATTTATCACCTCTCCGGCTATCTTATTAGATTCCCAGGAACCAACTTCCAGGACGGGATGATGGCAGCGACTTTGACAATATAGAACTCCCGGCAGGTTTCTACGACAATGCACCTTTGCATAGAAAAAACCTACAAATGCCAAAGTACGAGTACTATTTTACTAGTATTAGTTGCTGACATTTCCAAGCCGCCACCTGCTCAACTTGTCTGGTTCGTTAGTTAAAATTAAACCAGCTGGAAAGAAGCTAGAGTACTAGTAGCTAATTGACATCTACTGATAATACCAGTACTTGTCGGCATGACATCAAACCAAGAATAATACTATGTCACTGCTCATGTACAAGACACTAGTGCATGATAATACTATGTCTACCATTCGTGTAATATCAAAATCCGTATCTGTATGTTAGGATGGTCCAATCCACAGCTGTAATCCTGTAGAGCTCCTAGAGTGTTTGTCAGAAGCGCGTTGTTTGTATCAAACTTTTCTACCTTAGCTACGAAGATGCAGATTGCGTCAAGACAAAAAGAAACTAGTGCACTCAAGAAACATCCATTCTCTATCCATTCACGCCATGATTAACTTGCTGGAGATTATATTCTTTGATCTGGTTGTTAGAGAGTACCAACTTGCTGCAGCATTTTATAGCGAAAACCGCCAGTTGAAGTGATTTGGCAGATCAATGATAGGGAAATTTAGATACATATCTCCACTCCATAGTGCTTCAAAATAACTCCAACGACCATGTCTCTTATATATGTAGTACGAGCTGCACCTACTAACTACGTAGTAGTGCTTGACTTGCATGGTAGTCGATCAGCAATTATTGTAAGGGACTGGGTCTCAACTCTCAACGCACTGCTGCCCCCCAATGATTTAACTTCTCAAAGGGCTCTCTGTATGGCCATTGACAAATTCCAAACCGTGGCATGTAGCCTCCACCAAAGGACCCTTCTCCTGCTGCTTGTATAAAGCTACCTATAGCAGAAGAGGCTTTCGGCTGAGCTCATTACAGAAACGATATATAAGAAGCACCAATCGGTAACCACAAGCAGTATATCTAGAGAGTCAACCTTGCAGCGGCGATGAAGGTTAGCATTTAAATTTTCTTGATCCCTCCCTCGAATTTTCTATGGTGTATTAACTGTTCTTCTGCATATATCATCGTCAGATAGTGCTTAAGGTGGCGATTACCTGCAAGAAGTGCAAAACCTGCGTCCTTGGGATCGCCTCGAAAGTTAAAGGTAAATTTATCCTTTCTCCCTCGCCATGGCCAATCTTTATTTGATTATTTCTGTGTATGCATTTGTCATTCAAGGGTGTTCGTGTCTGGCTGATGATCGACATGCCTGCTAGCTGTGTGATGAACTGACTGATAACGGTGCCTACTACAGGGATCAAGTCCCTGACATACGACGAGGAGAAGAGCACTCTCACGGTGGTCGGAGACGTGGACGTGGTGGTCATCGTGGAGCATCTGCGCAAGGCGAAGCATCCGGCGGAGGTGGTGTCGGTGATCGACGAGAAGAAGGAGGCCGAGGAGAAGAAGAAGAAGGAGGAGGAAGAGAAGAAGAAGAAACAGGAGGAGGAAGAGAAGAAGAAGAAAAAGTGCTGCCCCAAGCCGCCGTGCACGCCGTGCCCTCCGCCGCCGTGCCCGCCGCCGTGCCCGTACCCGTACCCCAAGCCGTGCTACATCCCCATCGAGGACGAGTACCCCGGGCCCTGCACCATCGTCTGAGACCGAGAGAGCAACACCATGGCCATCCGTATCAGTTCCTCGCTGTTGGAAAAGCCACTACGCACTCTTCCAGCAGAAGGCACTTGAGTTTCAGCTGTAGCCCTGGGTCAATCATCGGTTTGGAAGAATTGGTTTCTTTCCATGCACATTCTCTTTCTGTCCTTTTCATTCTATGATTCTAGCGTGGTCTTTCTCCATCATTCAGCTTATAGGTTGATAGGTGGCTGAATGATAGGATTTAATGGACACATTCAGGTCATAAATGCTATCTGTATAGCTTTGTAACAAGCTTCCAATTGAGTTTCAAGATTAAGATGCCATCGCAAGAAATTCCAAGCACTCGAAGTTTTTTAAGACAGAAATTTAGGCCTTGATTTTTTTTCTCTTTACAAGTTGTGAGTCGGTAACGAATTGCCTCGTGATGGATTCGCCCAATCCCACCAGACAAACTCACAGATAAGCAGCCTGGATCACCAAAATAAAGTAAGAAAAAAGAAAAAGAAGGAAGAGGCAGGTTGGAATAGTCAAAGCTTCCTGCAATGTCAAAAATTGAATAAACTATCATCAATTTGCCATTGATATGGTATATATACAGTGCGACGGACTGGTCTTCTTTTTTCGGAGTCAACCATTTTTGTGCAGAATATGAATCGATTGTCAAGTCAGATACTAGCATGAAGTAAAAACTCAATGGTTTTCTTGGCAAAGTTAGTACAACCGTGACAGTGGCGGAGGTTAATAAGCCAGGAAGAGAGGTATGCCCCACCCATATAATCTTAAACTTTCTAAGGAAATCACATGATCTTGGTTAATAAATTTGTAAAAATAGAACCGGGAAGACGGCTTAGTCACTGAGACCAAAATTCAGGGAATTCGACCAATATGTTCCATCATTTTTTTTTCAAATTTAAACGAAACACCTTTCGTGCCATGGCAAATAGATTTTGGCACTAGCACCAGAATTGTGTGTACTTTTGGTGCTCGAGCATGCATTGTACATCCTTCTAACATCATAAATAGGTTACACACACGGATGCGAAACATGGTGTTAAGTGATTAGAGCATGTTTACCTAGATTTGCAAAATAACAAATCTCTACGTTTTGTTGATTTGTGGCACATGGATGCATAATATATAAATGGATGCAGTCTTGGTGGCTGCACGCTTATAGGAATCCAGGTGGCTATGCAAATCCTCCTATAGCACATTATAATATGTAGCCAGCTAGACAGATTCAAGTATTTCCTATTATACGAAACAACTTTCTTTATCACTGTGATTTAATTATTTGGTGAGTATGTGGTATCCAGGAGACCAGGACATGTAAAGCAGTATATAGCAGCATAATTTTCTTTCTGCATCAAGTAATAATACCATAAAGTTAACAATATGAATTTATATTGTACTACCTCTATCTAAAAAGAATGTAACTCTAGATGCATTTTTATTAAATTATATAAAATTTGATCAAATATTAAAAAAAATATAACGTCTATGACACCAAATACTATGAAACTAAATCTCATAACAAATCTAATAATACTTATTTAGTAATCATAAATATTAATATTTTTATATATAGTTAGTCAAGCTTAAACTATTTTAACTTAAATACTGTACTAGAATCCTATTCTTTTCTATAGACCGAGGAGGACCCAGTTACCTCTGCATCCCTGGGCCGCCGTATCTTGGTGCCCTCTTGCTCCTAGGCCCTCCAGAGTCCAATCCCACTTTTCTTTGTCCCTCTCATAGGAGACCGAGAGAGCACCGCAATGGCCCCCCCCTGCGGCGACGCGGCGGCGGCAGCCGAGCTCACCAGCCTGCGCATGAGCGAAGGAGGTGGGCTCCCTCCGCTTCCTGGACGGTACCGACCATTCTTTCACTCACTTTCCGATTCCTTGACGAACGCTTTATGTCAGCCTTCAACCGAGGGTTTTGGGGTTTTGTTCGCGCAGGCGAAGCGTCGGCGGCAATGCGGGTGAGAGAGATGAGGAGGGTGATACGAACAAGAAGGCGAGGAAGGAGAAGGCCGGTACGCAGCGGATCGCCGGGTGGGGACTCCGCGAGTTCAGCAAGATAGGTGAGACCGTCGCGCCTCGCCGAAAGACCATTTGCGGCTTGTGTTCTCGACAGAAGGCGTGTAGGTTCAGTCGTGACATCGAGCCGTTTGGGGAACCGGTGGGGAGCAGAGTTTCTACTTAATCCGATTTTGATCTAGCTGTATAGAATTTGTGTAGAGTTTCTGTTGGGAAACTGTCCTCATGAGGTGGAAAATCTGAACCTTAAGCTAGCAGCCCTCTGAATCTTGCTCTTGGTGTTAAAAACTGTGAAATCTTGATTCATGTTAGCCTCTAGTCCTGTCTAGAAGATAACTTGGTGTAATCCCACAAGCTGACAAGCATATAGTGGAGGAGATTTGGCTGGGCTATCGTGGCTACACAATGTCGCACCTTAGGGTTTGAGGAGCCACGACCAACTGTGCCAGGTCTTTGGTTAGTAGCCACGACTTACGTTGTGCCAAACATATCTTCACTGGGACCCTACTGTCAGTGACCACCATGTAAATACCATTCTTTCATTTAATGGAAAAGAAAAAAAATAGGTAGGGGACTCCCCTGCTGTTTCAGTCAAAAAGTGACTCATTTTCTTGCCAATTACTCTCTTCATTCCAAATTAGAGGTTGTCGCTTTTCTAGATACTTACTTTTGCTATGCACTTAGTTATATGCTATGCCTAGATACATAGTAAAAGCAATGCATCTAGAAAAGTCAAAACATCTTATAATTTGGAATGGAGGGAGTACTACCAAAGTTGTGGTGGCCTTCTTGCCCACCACGGTAACTGTGGCAGTGTGACATGCCACACTTGTGGCAACAAAGTGTGGTAATTACACCCCTTTAGGGAGAATGGGTTTCCCGTTGAAATTTGGTGTCTCTTTCATCGATGTGGTTGCTAGTTGCTACTGCCTATACCTCCACATATACTGCCTATACCTCTACATATGTATGCTGATTTGTTTTCTTTCTTGTATAATTCACGTTCTCGGGCTGATTTCAGTCCTGAAATTCATTTGCTTCTGCTGAAACAAGTTTTGTTAGTGTGGTTAAACCAATAATTTCCATTTGTTTGAAAATTGTACAGGTGAATGTTACTCAGCTCACCTTTCGACAAAATTATATAATATAAGCAAGGCTTAGGTTGGAAAATGTTCACTGTGACTTGATGAGGCCCTCTTCCTGTGGATTTTGATCTGAAAGACAGTGAATTTATTTGAGTTTGAGCTAAAAAAAAGTTATTGCTTAGTGTAATGAGATGGTTGCATTTGGAGCGTGCTATGTTGGGTGATGCAGGCATCTTTTTGGTGCATATGATGTATGTGCAAGATGATTCATCCACCAGGCTCTTTTGGTTTACAATTTACACGTGTTAGGACATAGGGGTAGTGTAATAGAATATTTGTTAGGATAAATGTGAAGCAAAAGTACATAGGGCATAGTTTAATTGAAATATTTATGTTTCGCAATTAGCACTTCTGTTAGATGTTTTCCTTTGATGATATAAACTTAAGTTGCTAACCTGCTACTATGATGTAACCATCATTTGGTTTGACATTGCAGTTTCTAAAAAAGTTGAGACCAAAGGACGGACTACTTACAATGAGGTATTCTCTTATATATATGTATCCCTCAAACTCTCACTAACAGACCATGCTTCATAATGACGACTGCAACAACAACAAAACCTTCGAACCCAAGCAGGTTGGGGTAGGCTAGAGATGAAACCTAACTTGAACCACCAACCTGAAAGAAACAAAAATGAAATGAAAAGGCACTAATAATACTACCCCTGCCTGTCCTTCGATTATTATCTTCCCTTGGGATTCCGCTATGCACCGGTGACCCTAGGTAGGGCCTTTGTTGGATATGTCCAACCCATCTCAACCAGTTTTGGACAAATTTTTCTTTTGATTGGTGCTACCCCTAGCCTATCACATATATTGTTGTTCCGAACTGGGTTCTTCCTTGTATGACTACAAATCCAACTTAGCACATGCGTTTCTGCAACTCTCTACTGTTGAAGCATGCAATTTTCAGTAGACCTTATAGATAAAATTATGGATAAAATGGAGACTTTATCTAGATTTTTTTTAGTTTATATGCATTATCCTACTTTACAGTGTTTATTTCAACCTGTAGCCAAGATGAACTCTAAGGTCACAGGCATATGATGCATCCTAAATGCCTGATATAAAATCATTAGCGTGTTGTATAAATGCTGAAAGGTATCTCCAACATACTACATTTGTAGTCTAGTACAGTATTCCTTCTACATATTTTAGCATCACATGTGATTTTTTTCTTTCCCATTTTGGGTTGTAAGCTACCTCAACTAGTTACTGTCTTTTCCAGGTTGCAGATGAAATTTGTGGGGAGCTGAAGCTGACTCTTATTGGCCAAGAGGTTATTTCGTATTATTATTATGTTGCACAAATTTGATCTCCCTTGCACTCCCCCCCACCCCCACCCCCAAAAAAAAATGCTGATCGAAAGAAAATAAACTTATCATTGTAGTTTGATGAGAAGAATATCAGGAGGAGAGTGTATGATGCTTTTAATGTGCTAATCGCACTACGTGTTATTACAAAAGACCAAAAGGAGATAAAGTGGATGGGCTTGTCTAACTTCCAATATGAAAAGATAAAGTTGGAGGTCAGTATTTGTGCTTTGCAGTGCTGGCAAGTAAATAATAATTGAGGAGGATTTTTTATGTGATTCCTGTCATGTTCTATTTCAAAGGAAACTCGCAAAGAACTCATGATCAGGATTAAGAACAAGAAAAAACTTCTCCAGGAAATTGAACGACAGGTAAGTTGTTTGTGAATATAGCGAGTAGCAATAACTCTTCTTTGCTTTTTTTTTGAAGTGAAAACTCTTCTTTGCTTTCATTTAGAGATATAACTACTGCTTCCTAACTGGTGTAGTTACTATTGTCTCATGATTCTTCCTTGTTTATTTCAAGTTTGATGACCTCCAGAATATCAAGTTCCGCAACCAGTTACTACAGAGGCCAGCAGAGAGTGCGAATGGTATCAGCCTTCCATTCTTATTGGTCAAGGTATTTTTCTTGATCTACAGCTGTCGAAAATATTTACCCTCCAAAAGCAGCTTGCATCTCAGATTCTCAGCTGTAACATCTGGATGTGCATAGATTGGGTTTCTATGTGTTTCAAATGTTCAACCTACTATGGTTGACTTAGATGGTCCAGTCCAAAATTGTGTCATTGCAAATTGCATGTTTCAAATGTTCAATTAAATATGGTTGACATAGATGGCCTGATCAAGACTTGTTTATGGAAATATCCTACCAGCTACCTGACTTGAAATGTGGATTACTACAACTGTGCTAGTGATTAGGCACTTTGGATAGTAAAATTATTTGAGTTCATGGCATGAATACCGTATAGTAATAGTATAAAATCAATCTGTGTCATATATAAATGGTTTTGTTGGTTCAGAACTTAGGAGACACATGCAAACTCAAGTACACATGGTGAAAAGCAACAAACGCAGAACACACCAGGTAGCAGATGAATTTGATATTTCTTCTCATTACATCTCAAAGAAACATAGCTACATATAGAGGCAGCACCTAGCTGATTCCACATTGCTTGCTGGCTAGTCCACACAGGTTTCTGAGTTCACATCACATTGACCTCAATCTATTTGGTGACTTGAGTAGCACACCTTGACTTATGCATGCACGCAAAAGGGCTCATACCTCCTGTTTTCTTATCGACAAGCTTAATAATTTTAAAAAACATGCTGGACATTTTTCATAGTCTAGTAGGTAGTAATTAGTAGCATTTATTTTTGAGCAGGCATCCAGAAAAGCAAGGGTGGAAATTGAGATTTCAGAAAACTCAAAGTTTGCTGGTTTCGACTTCAACTGGTATGTCTCTTTTTGCTACCAGAATTCAAAACTGATGTTCCGTCCAAATTAACATGCCTTGATCCTAACCAAATACTCTCCACTCCATTTTTCAGTACACCATTCACCTTGCATGACGATGTCTCAATCCTTGAAGCGATCAGGTGTAACAATAATAGCATAAAAAGAGCTAGCTAGCTTCGGCACTCATCATTAGATGATCGAGAATGTGATTTGATCTGTTGACAGTGACAAAACTGATATAATCAGTTCCTTTTGCACAGCCATTAGTATGTGTAGGTATATATATAGTATGAAAACTCGACCTAGTCCTCAAATCAGCCTTTCTGGCTTGTGAAGATTTAGCCTGCAAATTTTGCCCCTTTTTGCGCCTAGCAGGTTATTAGGTCTGAGATAGATTAGTCTCATATATAATGCTATGTATTAAATTGAGTATATCTCCAATTTGAAAGCTTGTGTACAAGCTTTGCTGGTTATCATGATGTTCGGGCATTTTGCCTTGGCAAATCATGTACTCTATCCTTTCAAATTATAAGATGTTTTGGCTTTTCTATATGCATAGTTTTAACTATGTATTTAGATAAAGTGTATATCTAAATGCATGGTAAAAGTTATGTATTAAAAAAGGCAAAACGTCTTGATATTTGGAGTAGAGGGAGTATTTCTCTAGCTGCACTGACTATGAGAATGTATCTTCCGTTCAACATTTATCTGCCTCTTTGGTTCCTGCGGTCCCCTGCGAGGCATATGCTAATCCATTTTAGTCCTTTTTTGGTACGTACATTGTTCCAGAATAAAGAAAAAAAATGTTTTAAGTCGGAAACATTTTTGTTATTCGAACCCTACCATTACCCTAAGTTTTACGTGACGAAGAGTGGGTGGGCGTGGAAGCATACTCCCTTTGTGCCAACAAATTATAAGATGTCTTGTTTTTTCTAGATATATTGCTTTACTATGTTTCTAGATATAATATATATTTAAATACATAGCAACGATCTACTGAAACATCTTATAGTTTAGAATAAAAGTAATATTTAAAATCATGTAACAACTCAAGCAAGCTGCAGAGCTCAGTATGGCCAAGTGATCCGAAACCAAAAATGCTCAGCCTAGGCGATGGAGAGCCCGGCCTTAGAGCATCTCCACCAGATTGAGAGTTCTCAATTCTCTTTTCCTACGGGCCTTACTAGCGTTCGGACGCCGGTGCCTGCTGCTCCATTCCCGCACCCCCCCCTCCGCGCGCACATACGTCTGAAGGCAAATAAAACATTGAAACATGTTTTTTGAAACACTTGCAAAAAACACTTGGAAAACACTTGAAAATGATTACAAAAACATACGCAATATTTAGATAAAACACTTGCAACATATGTGTGAAACGTATGCAACATCCAGATAAAACACACTTGCAACATACATCAAAATGCAGATGAAACATTGGAAACAGACCTTTGCAACATACGTGTACAACCATTGCAACATATGCAAAATCTTGATCTACTTTTCCAACATCCAAATGAAACAATTGCAACATACCAATGAAACACATGAAACATACGATTGCAACATGCATTTTCAACACATCGCAACATCTTCTGCTTGGGAGAATGGAGGCTTGTCGACGTGTGGAGTTTGCCGGAGGCAACGGCCTAGCGACTAGGCGGCGGGCCGGCAACAGCGGCTGCGCGAGGTGGTAGGGAGGCATTAGCACGCAAAGCACCAGGGAGGCAGAGGCAACTGTCAGGGCTTAGCGGCGCCGTCGCGCCAGCGCTTTGGCAAAGTCAGCCCGCCCGTCGGTCCGGTGGCTGAAGCGCCGCTGTTAGGTGGCGATGGCGGCGTAGCCGAGCGCGTGGCTCGGCTGGCGACAGCGCGCGCAAGGCAAGGTGGCCGGTGTCCGGTGGTGCGCTTTCGCTCGTTGGAGCAAAGAAAGAGCGGATAGGAGGAGCGACGAGCGTATTTTTTTATTAGAAACGGACGAGGAGATTTAAGGGGGGTCGTTGGGCTGGTCCACTGCGCATCTGGGAAACGCGTTCGGACGGGCCGGGACGGATGGACGTTCTGACCTAGCATTATCATTCCTATAAGGCTATAATCAACAATAAAAGTGGGATTTGATAGAAAAATCAAGCTCCAATTGATTTCCTTTCTCAATCCTCTTTCGCCGTTTTTTCTCCGGAATTAAATCATATGGACCCTGGGTCCAATCACTCTCCAATGCAACCCCTCCCGAATGGATGACACGACGTGGCACACAAAAAACCACACGCTCAAGGTGATATCGAGAATTTGCCACGTGTCATCCATCCGTGGGTTGCATTGGAGAGTGATTGAACCCAGGTCCATACAATTTAATTCCTTTTTCTCCGACCCCTAAAATTCTCCCCTCAATCCGTGAAGTGATTTTTCTCGATCACCTTTCTTTCTCCTCCGACCACTGACGTGTGGGTCCACAGGAGTGAGCACGCAGGCAAGCGCACAAGTTGACATGCCGCACAGGCCACTGCGCCGCCTCCGTCACGAGTGCACCCCTCCCCCCCACTGCTGGCTACGGACGGGCGATCACGCCGAGCTATGGGTAGGCCGACGCCACTCAAGCTATGGGCAGGCTACCGCCGCCTTGCGCCCCCTCGCTGGCCACGGGAGAGAGAAGAGAGAGGAGGGAGAGAGAACTAGCAACAAGTAAAGATGACCATTCGGACCACCCCCTTGCCCGGCCAAGACGGCCCGTGTTGTGCACGGCCCGAGAGGGCTACCGCAAGACGATAGAGCACGACGGGCCGCGGGCCGCGCGTGCCCCTAGTCCACCGTGCCTAGCCGACGGCCCGAGCACGGCCCGTCGGGCCACTTTCCATGCCGGACGGCCCCGAAAGCACGGCCTTTTTAATGAGCCAGGGGCCCGAGGCCCGCATCGTGAGGGAAGGAAGAGAGGATGGAGGAGACGAGGTCCTCGGATCGGTCGCGTGCTCCAACGGCAAGCGGCGGCGGGTGGGTGGTGGTGGAGGAGGAGAGAGAGAGAGAGAGAGAGAGAGGGGGGGGGGAGGCCGCAGCTGCGAGCCGCCGAGTCGGGGAGGTGGCGGTGGCGGCGACCGCCGGATCAATGGCAGGAGCCAGGAGGAGGATGGATGAGGCCGGATCCGTGGAGGATGGAGGAGGCCGCCCACTCGACGCTGTTGCTGCTGCCGAGCTCGACGCCGCCACAACAGCGCTCTAACATGCTGCGTCCACCCCTCTACGTCGGGAGGCCGTGAGGAGGAGGAGAGGCCATCCATGCTGGCGTCATGAGAGGAGGAAGACGAGGCTACAAGCGAGTGAAGGCGATCGGGAAGAAGACAAGCAAGTGAGGGAGGCGCGTCACGTGGAGGCGGCGACTCATGAAGTGCGTTCTTGGCGCGTCTTGTGTGAGGGGAGGGCTGGGCGCGGTGGTGGTGGGGGAGGGAAGGGAGTTAGGGTCGGGGTGGGAGGACCGGGAGCGACGCGGGCGTGGGGTGCTGCTGGAGAGAGCTGCTGGGCTGGGCGTCTGGCTTATATATGAGGAGGGGGGGAGGGGGGATGTGGGGGGCGGGCATGTTGTTGGGCATGGGACGGGAGGAGGAGTGAGGAGGGGGAAGGGGGAGGCTGGGCCGTTGCTGAGCCGACCAACGCAGCCGGGTCAGGCTGCGTGCAAATTACACAGCCTAAGCAGCTGGCCTGTGCACGGCCGCTCCTCGAGCCGGGCCAGCCCGGGCCCGCACGTCACCGGGCCGTGCCGGGCTCATGTCGGGCTAAAAAAGCGGGCTTCGTGCCGTGCCGTCATGCCTCGGACTGCATGGACATTTATAGCAACAAGGAATAAAATGATTCACTTACATGTGGGTCCTGCATGCAAGGAAGTTAAAGGGAATGCCATTTTTTCTCAATCTGATAAAGCAACATTTTCTTAAAATTAGAATTCTTATGTTCTCAATCCCCTATAATAACTTTATAATCAAGTTTTAAGAAAAAAGGAAAAAGAGATCCGGTGGAGATGTTCCTCGGCCAGGCGTCTCACGGTTGCATCTCTCATTCTCTCTACAGGCAGTAAAATGAAAACCTTGTACTCTCAGCCTCTCAGGTACAGTAGCTGCTGCCACTGGCAATCTCTTCCTGAAGCGCGAGACATATTGGAACAATCGAAAACAGCTATGATAATTTTATAAAAAAAGGGGTATTATATAGTAAAATAAAGCTTAAACAATCGGATAGGAAGCTAGTATCCAGTTGTTAGTTAAATATTCAGAAAGGAAGCAACGTGTAATCCAGCCTGACACGTTGCCCTTTGTACCAAATACTCCTAGTTACCATGGATTATCCCACCATTTGCACAAATGGGAGGTCAGTAATAGAATAGAACATGCGTAATGGAATAATATATTTTGTCCAGCTGAAGAATCTGGACGCACAAGAGGACAGCTATATTTAAAATTTTCTGACTTTAGTTTTACAACAATGAGGTGAACAACAACAGAAACGGGGGAGAAGAGGTGGCCACTCTAGTCAGTAGTTAACTGCTAGTACAGAGCAAGCGCATAAACATAGAAGATAGCAGAAAAGGTATGAACAGACCATTTCAATAGAGAACTTGGCAAGCTGCTGAGATCCGTGAATAGCATATGTTGCCCAAAATTGGTGAAATTTGATGAAAAGCTGCCACGAATCCATGATAGTGATTTCTCAAGAATCCTAGGTGGCAGCGACAGGTTCAGCATTTGGAACATACCAACCACGGAGTATCTCGATGGCCTTCTTCCTCCTCGCCAGTCGAGACTTACGATGGTTCCCGGTGTTCCTATGCATGGCACCAACCTTCACTGTCTTGTCGATGGCTTTGTATGCCTCAGAGATCAGTTTCTCTATTTCAATTATTTCTTCAGGCTGGGCATCAGGTTTCTTCCTAAGCTTTTCAAGAGCTCTTAAGACCTAATGAAAGAGCAAACGGTTTATGATTGTTTTTTCAGAGAACAGTATGCAATACTAACTGTGTACAAAATGATGATGATAATGGTTGCCACATGAGAAGTGGAATTTCAAATTCTCGTCCCCATTGACCATTATCAGTTTCATTTGTGTCATAAGATTCATCACATCAACACAAAACAACTATTGTTCACACACAGGATAACCAGGGAATGAAATTCATTAACTATGTCTCCTCTTTTCCTTGAGCTGTTTTTTTTTTCCTTTGAGGGCAATGATTCATAAATAATAACAAAATATTTACTACCACATATACTAAAATAATGAGCTGACATTCTAATATTCAACTAAAGTAAAATCAATCTACATTTTTATTTTTTCCATACCGTTTAACTCTACAAATATCTAATCTAGACTAAAAAAACTCATAGACTGTTCAGTTGTCCTCCATGCCCCCCTCAATCAATAGACATTAGCCCGTGATAAATACCGGCTAACATAAGCAACCAAAACCACCCAGTTACTTAACGTCAGCGAAGAACAAACTCAGCACTTCGATTGGGCTGTATGATTCACAAATGGAGCCCTTCTAACAAGCTGATTCACATGCTTATTTCAAGACAAATCTAATTCAACAAAATGTGCTGGCACTACAATCTTGCAAGAGCTTCTCCAAAGCTAAACTCTCTTTCTAACTGTACTGTGCCACTTGAGCATTTCTATCTCACAATGCGATTAAATTTCTGGCGCAATTGTAAGCAACAAGGAGAGAGGTCATATAGTCACTGCCACTAAGCATCAGTCATTCAGACAGGTACCTTTTTCATCCTGGTGCGCATCTCGGCCTTGCGCGCGTGATTGCGGATGCGGTGCTTGTCGTTCTGGCGCTCCCTCTTCTTGACCGAGTCCGGCCGCCGCCCTGTCGTGGCCTCGCACACCACCTCCAGCCCCCGCCGTCTCAACCTTCCGGCGGACGATGTTGAAGTCGCCGCCCAGGTCCCGTAACCGCCTGAAACCGCCATTCCCGACACAAGAGCCGATGAGTAAACACAGAGACATTGACGAACCGCCGAGGAATTGGAACCTGAGGTGCCGGATGAACCGTACCGAGTGGGGAGACGAAAGGGAGGGAGACAGAGAGACGGGCACGTGGGGAGAGGGCACGGAGCGAGAGAGACGTGGGGATCCGGGTGGGGGAAGGGAGGGAGGCGCAGAGGGAGGAGAGGGAGAAGAGCGGGGAGGTGGTGGCGGTGGCCATGGCTGCCGGTGGGAGGAGTTCGAACGCTTCTCGTGCCCGTGCAGATGGGCGTTATCTTATCCGGGCCGACGAGCAGGGTATGAAGGCGGACGGTGGAATTGCGCAATCGACACGCCAACACGGGATCAGAAAATCGAGAGGGAGGGACAGAGAGAAACACAGGAAGACAGTATCACTGTATCAGTATGTTTGTGCATTTTTGGCTTTTTGCTACTAGCTACTGACTATGGTCCACGGACCACGAAGGTTCAGGTGAATTTCAATGCTCATATGCGCAGTAAACAAAGAACTACTCCATCCTAGAAATAAGTTCGTTTTATACATGATTTAAGATACCAATGAGTGATTAATCAGAATATATTTTCCCATATTTATCATTATTAAATTGCCTCTTGGGTATCTATTTAACTAATATCCGTCTTCGTCCTACTGGTTACCGACGCATGCTCTTAGGCATGTGGCGCTGGTTCGATCCCTCGCGCCCTACGCGAGCATTTTTTGTGCTCGTGCGGCGTGTCAGTGTGTTGGTATTTGGAAACAAAGAGACCGAGGCCGCGGCCGCGTTGATGCATGGCTAAAACGAAGAGACCGAGGCCGTATGCAGGGGTACACTCGTCTCATATCACGGTGATCAACCCAAACAAACTTTTTTCTGAAAACTCTTAGAGACGCCAGAACAAAGCATGTTGCATCCATAGTAAGAGCAGCCCCAATGCTCCATGATGTCTCTATGTAGGCTCGGATACCAGTTGAAATGAAAAAAGTGAGAAGATGGTGGTATCGTCACGCGTTGAGGAACGTCCTTGAGGATTGGGGAAGTTAACAGAGAATGGCATGGAATGTCCTTGAGGATTGGGGAAGTTAACAGAGAACGGGATGGACAGTGGTTAGTGATGGGAACAAGGAGGCATGTGGAGGTGTGCCTTGCGTTGAGGCGGTGTTGGTCTCAATGCATCTGCTCCTACATGGATGGACAATTTTACATGAGGCGTATGATCCTATATGCATGTGTTGGTGGTGGCCTAATGTCAATTGTGTGTCTATGTTTAGGCTTTTATGTAGGCACTCATTCCTATTTGACCTATTGCAAAATTCCAACAAAAGGATACAGACAATTTAGTTAAATAGTAGACATATACTTGCTAAACTAGACAAGATATTATGCACTGCAAAGCCATAAAACCATATAGGTCACATAATCCAAAAAAAAAGTCAAAATGAATGTTAAGCTGAGCAAAATAGCAGTAGCTCACAATAAAAGAGCAAACTAATAATGGCTAGTAGAATACCTAAAAGACTCATTTGGATTTTGGCAATTGAATGACAATATATGTGAACTAATGGTTTCATTTGTGAGACAAAAGATCAAGCTTACTCCACAAGCTAGGTTGAGCTACACGAGGCCATGTGTAGATGGCATTGATCATAGAGTATGTAGAGGCTCAACAAGTCAAGGGTTAAAGATGATGGGCAGATGGAAGTGCAAAGGGTGGAAAACAAAGTGCAAGGCGAAGGTATATGCATAGGCTTTATTTTCACCGGCCATGTGGTGATTAGAGAAGTTGAATGGCTAGGTTGACAGGGTAGAGATATGCGTACTATAAAGAGGGACAAATCGTTACTTATACGATTACCTATTGCCACTAGGTGAGATATAACTTTGCATGTGCATTAAGATCAGGTGGCACGACGAGATGCAAGTGAAAAACTTTGAAAAATATTTTGAAAATGCTAACTTAGTACTAAAGGTGATGTTCATCCGGTGAGAAACCTATTGGAGTTATCCATTTAAAGAGGTTTTGAAAGAAGCTCGATGGACTATTTTCATAGCCATCGAAGCTCTCTGGTGGGCACTGGAGTGCACCTACCGGAGCTTAGTTGCTATTGTTTGGATATGTTCGTCGAATATCTCTGGTGGTTACTGTGGCTCGACTACCGAAGTTTGAGCACACTCTTGGGCACCAGACAGGTAACCACCAGAGTTTAGATATGACAAGATGGCACACGCGGGAATTTCAAATATGGGCACCAGAGCCCTCTGGTGGTAGCACCAGAGGCTACTAGTTCAGAGAGGGTGTTAGTGATACGCTCTGTTCGGCTGATAGTTTTTGCGGCTGATAAGTCGACTGATACCGTTTTATTGTGAGAGAAAAACACTGTACCATGGCTGATAAGTTTAAGCGAACATTAGTGTAATCTATTATCTTGATCACTAGAATTGTGTAGTTATGCTTACCTAAGCTTGCTAAACAATTGCTAGAGGTAGCTTTATTAGAGCATCCTTGTTATCTCACGTTTTGCTTAATGTTGTGATTTGTAGAAACTTTTAATAAGAATATTCAGCCTCCTCTAGCCACCTAAAAATTCTTCCAGTACCCGCACATTGCTGCCGAATTTTGTGACGCCAATTTTAAAACAAAGAAAATAGTGTCACTTAATAAAGCTTCTAAATGTAAAGTCATAGACACTCACATATATATATATGCTCACTTAATCTCCTCTAAAAGACTGAGCTAGTAGATCTTGATATAGACATCTTATCATTAATGAACACGTTGTCTACCACAGAGAATAATACTATTAAATCTTAGAATAAATCCACAAACAAACAAGCACCCATATCAAGTAAAAAAATAACTCAAACCAATTTGAGCTACATTTAGTTCGCTAACCCAAAGTCATTGGACTTTGTAAAAACACTATGTCGTTGTCACTTCATCCTCCCGGCCGGCCAAGAAACACCGGGGCGCCGACGCCCATCGTCTGTCCTGGCTGGCCTATGTGCTCCGGTAGACGAGTCCCAAATTTATTTACCTGTCAAATGTTGTCTGAAGTAAATGGAGCCAAACTTTAGAGCATGCCAGATTTTGTTGACTTTTCTAGGCGAGCAAAATTCATCATCGGTCCTTAAACTTGGCAGATGGTGTATCTAGGTACATGAACTTCTAAAGTGATATACGTGGGTCCCTAAACTTGACAAACGGTGTCATCCAGGTCCCTTAACTTTCAAGGTGATCACTGCAGATCCCAAAACTTGGCCGGCGGTATCATCCTGGTTCTTGAACTTCTAAGGTGATCATCGCACGTCCCTAAACTTGGCAAGCAATTTCATCCCTATCCACATGTGGTCTAACCTACTCTATAAGCTAGCGTGATCCAAATTGTGTCAATTAATCAATCATTATTTATATAATATTTATCATGAAAATATAAATTATATAAAATAATTACATTAGAAAAAAATAAATTAAAGTATTAAAATAATCTATAACAACAAATATATTAGATTTAAACTAAAATAGAAAAAATATTAAAATTAATTTAATATTTATGTATCATTAATAGTATTAAAATAATATTAAAATTCCTATAGTATTAAAAGTTTTCTTTATTAAAAGTTACTTCTAGTTTTAGTACTTTTCAAAAAGTTTTAATAGTAGTATTATAGAAAGTAAAATTTCTCTATTATTAATACTATATAATACTATAATATTGTAATACTATAATACTATACTACTTTTAATAGTAGTATTATAATATTAGAACTTTTAATAATAGTATTACAGTATTAAAAGTTTTAATAATAATATTATAGTATTAATAACATAGAAAAGTTACTTCTATAATAATACTACTAAATTTTTAAAATAATACTAAAATTAGAAATAACTTTTAATAGAGAAAACTTTTAATACTATATAGGTAACTTTTAATATTATTATATTTGGACATCGCTCGCTAAGTTTAGGGACCTGCGGTGATTATCTTGAAAGGTCAGCGACTGAAATGACACCGCCAGCCAAGTTTAGGGACCTACAACGATCACCTTGAAAGTTTAGGGACCTAGATAACACTGTCTACCAAATTTAAGGACCCACATATATCACTTTAGAAGTTTAGGGATATGAATGACACCGCCTGCCAAGTTCAGGAACCAGCGGTGAATTTTGCTCTTTCTAGGTTGTAAGAACAAACATGCCATAGTGCTCCGGTGTGTGTGGGGAGATTTTTTTTTATTTTTAACATATTTTAAACTATTTTTAAAACTGACACTGTTTTTTTTTCAAAACTAACACTTTCGGCCGCGCCTATTTCTAGGGCGCGGTGAAACAACTCTGTCGCTCCATGCAAGGCGACGCGGCAGGGATGCGTACGTGGTAAAGTCCCGCCCCGTGGGTCACTGACGTGGCAGGCCTTGCCGCGCCACCGATCAGGGCGTGTCTGTGACGCGCCACCCGTCAGGGCGCGACAGAGCCAAATAGAGGCCTGCGGCCTAGTCCCTTTCCTCCCTCTCTATTTCACTCCGCGCCGCCCAGCCCTCGCCGCCACGCCTCCTAGCCCGCACCGCCACGCCATTGCCTCTCGGCTCCCCCACGGTCGGCCACACAATTTTCCTTCCTTGCCGGCCTCCTCCCTACCTTCTCCGAAGCTCCTCCTCGACCTTGTCAAGGTAATGAAGCTTCTCCTCGTCCTCCACGGTGGATCGAAGAATTTGAATGAGTAGTTAGGTTATGAAGAAAAATATGAGTTCGTTAGAACGTTGGATTGAAGGATTAGGATTAGGATTACCAATGTTAAGTTTAATTGGTTAGTTAGAATTATGATTACCATGTATTCTAATGTCAATTTTTATATGAATTTTGCTTGTTTGAGTTTGCATCTCAACTCTTATATGTGAATAAATATATGGTCACACTGTTGATGTACCAAATTTTATTTTTTAATGACCAAAATATAGTTTTCATGTTTACATCTAAGATAGAGTTTGCACCAAAGTGTAGGTTATATTTTATTTGTTGTAATACAAATGATTCTCATTGATATTAATTTGTGATGTTTTGATTTTTGTTTGTTAAATTACAACCGTTTTGTTAGATGCAAGAAATGTATCGGGAGGAGTTTTGGTGAAAATGGGGCCGTCCTCGAGAATTATACCCCGACGCGTCTAGCAAAGATACCCCCGTCCCTCCTGACCTCCCTGTCTCTAACTGTGACTGTGG